CTACAAATTTTAAACTTGGCAGCTCCCACCGTTGCATGAGCCAATTCCTTAAAATTAATCTCTCTCTTCCCCTTCTCTCCATATAATGCTACGTCTAATGCAAAGATCTATCTATTATCTACCTATCCGTCCATCTATCTAATCTCCTATTGGCTTTGTTTCTCTGGAGACTGCTGACTGGTATAGTTAGTGCTCCACTGAGTAAATTAAAAATGAACTATCTTAGTAAATTGACTTTGGTTCTTAAGAATCAAATAAGTGTGGCTGTTTCTAGCTTCCTAGTGATTAAAGGGAAACCTTTTCCCAGAACACAAGCAAAGATGTAAAGTACGGAAACAGTTTTTCACCAGCTTGATTCAAGGTAGATTTTTATAACTTAAAAAGCATATTTTTTATGGTTGAAATTCCACTATTTCCCACCCCCCTCTTTATTTCTAAAGTGATAGACCTGCTAGGCTAGGAGTTGAGGGGAGTGTCTGAAGGGTGTTTATAAAATCCATGTGATAATAAGGCAGAGACTTTATAAAAATCTTACTTAGTGTGACATTTTTCCCTTGACTCTCTAAAGAATCTCACTGATTTGCAGAGAGAATCACTTGGTACCGTATCTCCATCCTCCCTAAATTCTTGGTCCACCCCTTCTCAGAAGGAGCCTTTAATCCCAGCCATGGGAACTCCACAGGACTCTGAGGGGACACCCGTCTAGGAACTGGAGAAGGGGCCTAGGATCTCTTCTGTAGCCCCTGCCCCTCTCGTTGCTGCCTTCTTGGTTTCTGAACACAAAATTGTACCTGTGTGATAGAAACCGCCGATTCTGTCAGCATGATTTAATATAACATTAAGACTCTAATAAAGTCAAGGCAAGAGTCTGAACAAATGTATCATTTAGAAATGAAAGGGTTAGCAAACTAAATGCATCTGTTGTGCTTGAAACAATAACTATCATTTCATAGGTTTGCATGTGGCTGGCAACTATTATTCTAAGTGATGTGCCCCTATCGACTTGCTTAGTGACCACAGGACTATGGGGTAGAGTTTTACTCACCTGAAAGAGGAGAAATTCAAGGCACAAGTACAGTTGCAAATTTTCCAAGGTTACTCCACTAGTAAGTGATAGAACTAGGGTTCAAAAAGTTTTTACTTATAACTACTCATACCTCATTATCCTCTAAAACTAAAAGTATCTTCTAATACTAAAGTCCATGTTAAATTTTCAACTTTGTACTTTTATTCTTCTGTCAAGCCTTAAATAATATCATGGCAGATTGCAATTTTTTTGTTAAGAAATGCATCCATCTATTCAGCTTTTAACACCTTGAGAAACCCTGAAAAGTCAATGTGAATAGGCATTGTCACTAAGTGAAAAATTTGTATCTCAAAGACTTTCTCACTTTTATTTTTCACCGTATCTTAGAATCTGCCATGCTGGTTCTTGGGAATTGTATGTGGGGGGTGGTTTTTTACTTGTTTGTTTGTTTGTCTACACTCTCATCTATCACCCGGAGTCTCACCTGTACTTTCTTGTACCTTCTATTTATTCCTGGTTCTCAGGATCATGGCTGAGCCCAAGCCCAAGCCCAAGTCACACATGGACAAGGGGCACCCCAGTGGGCCATGTGCTGTTCTCATTCACACTTCCCTCCTCCACAGCAACACCACCCACAGGGTTCTGGACCCCCATGGTATAGAACCTTCGTGGGCAGCAGCAGAAACAGAGAAGTGACAGGAAAGAGCAGAAGGGCAATCACCTGAGTGGAACATCTCACTGCTCTCTGGAGGTAGAAACACATGATAAGATTGGCTAAACCCTAAGAGTCAAGAGCCCTCCACTTACTTGGCTCACACAGGGAACTACTGTAGGGCGGAGCTTAAAGGCCTGAGCCAGGTTCGAAGTGTGCAGTTTGGAAAACCAGTGCTGCCAGTTACTACACGTGACCCTGGGTAAGTGATCCGACCTCTCTGTGTCTCTGTCATCTTCACAGAGGGGACAGTGCAGGGTGTCAAACTCATTTTCACCGGGGGCCACCCCAGCCTCATGGTCGCCTTCGACGGGCCAAAATAATTTTAGGACTGTATAAATATAACTACTCCTTAACTGTTAAGTGAGAGTTTGGTGCTGCCCCCTGGTAGAAGCAAGGTGCCAGGCTGGATAAAACAAGGTGGAGGATGGATTCAGCCCGCGGGCCTTGGGTTTGCCGCCTGTGAGACAGTGCAGATAAAAGTCTTAGCTCATCGCTCGGTGAGGACAGCGTGTCAAACCTACAGGTGTCATCTATTATTACTCAGTGTCGTAAAGCTTTAGACCGGGGTGACCTTTTAGAAGTCAATTTCTAACCGTTAAGAATAGGAAAACTGAGAAAGAGAAAGGAGACAATTTGTCTGAGGGTGCACAGCAGATTTCCTATCCCATAAGACTTTTGCCATACTGTAGTCAGCCTTTCTAGAAAGTTCTCAGTTACAGGGCTGCCTCTATTATTTATGCTTTATATACGAAAGGCTAATGTTTGTAAGTGGGTTTTCCTCTTCACTTGCTAGATTTATGCTGAGCCGTTCTCTCACCTATCTGCTCTTAGGAAAACAGAAAACTAGACAGGATTAGGGACGCCAGAGATGAGCATGGGTCACAGCAGGGTAAACAGCATCCACCGCAGCCTCACAGACACGGCTGTGGGCAGTGAAGTAATCAGCCTCAGAGAGACCTGGAATAAAAAAACAAAAACATTCAGCCTCACCACAGAATCCGTCCCTCCGATTCCTGGACAACTGCAGGTTGATGGAAACAGGTCCTAACGTGGATTACAAGGGCCTGTGCACAAGTATATTTATTGAACGGAAATCTCGTTTTCATGAATCTAAACAACAAAGAACACATTTTTAAAAAATACTTTTAGTTTTGAATTGACTGTAACAAAAAAGGTAAGATGGTGTGATTCACAGGATAGTGGTCTAGCCAGACAGCAAGTTCTGGGAAACTCCTCTGATCCTGCACAGTGATCCTGGGCAATCGATGAATCAAGCGTGACTGACATTGTTTCACCCACACCCACAAAGTGCCTGCAGAACATCCATGGGGGACCTAAAAATCATTCCTGACTTTGGACTAGACCCAGGGGACTCACCCTGGATGCATCTTGCCCTCTAGCTGACTGAGAGCCTCCCCGAGGCCCTGGGAGGCTTTCTGGAGGACAGCCCCCACTGGCTTCACTCCTGCTGACCCCCAGATCAGGGGTGTCGTGCTCATTTCACGGGGGCCCACATCGGCCTCGCAGTGGCCTGCAAAGGGCTGAATGGAATGTTAGGACTGTGTAAATGTAACTACTCCTTAACAGTTAAGTGAGAGCTCAGCGCTGCTGCCAGGTAGAAACAAGGTGTCAGCAGGTAAAACAAAGTGGAGGGCCAGATTCGGCCCTCGGCCGTGTGTTTGCCACCTGCGCCCTAAATGGATCCCTTCATCCAGCTCCAGTGTTACCCTCTTCCTTGCCAGTGACCAGATCCCTTTGCAGACCCGTCTTTCAGATGTAAACCCTCAGGCATTATCTGACGATCACCAGGTGGAAATGAAGGTGGTGGGCTTTGGGTTTTTGCTTTATTACTTTTATTTATAGACTTTGACTTTTTTAGGGCAATTTTAGTTAGGATCACAGCAAAATTGAGCAGAAAGTACCAAAATTCCTATGTTTTCTCTGGCTCTGCACATCTTCCCACACTGACAACACCCCCCAAGTGGCGGAGTTTTCTCATTCTTTTTATTTACACCCTGAACTTCTTTACTATTCCCTCCTGGTCACAAACTGGCAGCTCCCATAGTAAACACAGGGCTATATCATATTTTCTCCTTACCATGTTTATTTCTGCCTCCAAAGCACTTCTGTTTTTAATAAAACCATAGAAGCTTCCCCTCCCACTACACTAATACCACACACAGAAAACAGTTGGGAAAACATTTTAATTATTCCAAACCACAACCGCACTTAACTACAGAGAAGGAAGCTTTACAGACCCACTGGGGGGGGGGGGGGGGGGGGAGTCTCAACTGAGTAAAACCTCAGGGGTTGGCCATAGCCAGTCACTGCAAACCCGGAGCCAGCGCTCACACTTCCCGAGCCCAGTTCTCTTTCTACTGGGGAAAGACTTTTTAGATGATCTCGCTTTGATGAATCGCATCCAATAATTCATTAATGAATCACCCATGTAGGGGCAGGGAGCATTGCCGCGGTCTCTCCCATAACGAATTGCTGCTCTAAAACACACAGCCGTGGGGAAGAGGCTGACATGTGTGGGAGGGTGAGGGGGCTTGGACTGCGTTTTCATAGCTATGATACTAAAGGACATATATTTCGTGTGTTTCCCTCCAGTTGAGATGTAGTAGAAAGTAGGGTGGGTTGACAACCAAGTACTGGATGTGCTACTACTCTGATGTGATGTGGAAAGCATGTTTCCTCTCTGTGCCTCAATTTCTTATTCTATAAAGTATAACGATTTCTTACCATCCTTGCAGAAATACGTGATTCTAGGATAGCTCCTGAAAGAAGACAGGGGCAGAGGGAGGAAAGGAATAGGGGGAAAGCTGAACAAAAAAAGGAGTCATGTGAGGGAGGGGAGGGAGGGGAGTGGAGAGGGGAGATGCCTTTCATTAAGACAGTGAAAAAAGTTGAAAATGAAACTGTGGGTCTCATGGGGGCTCTATATTCTCATCTTTTGGATTTTTCGTGTTTACTCATACATAGTAATTTGGGGGCAAATAAAGATTGCATGAATGGAGAGCCTCAAAAGGCTAACTAGAGAAGAAAGTGCGAGGGGAAAAATGCGAGGGAGCGAGCACGGGAGCTGTCTGCGTACATAATCCCACCCAAGTTATCCCCACATCGCGCCCCCAGTGACCTCCCCTGGCTGCGCGAGGCCTCCAGTTTCCCTAGAGAGCCTCCCTGAAACCGCCAGGGGGCGCTGCGCAGCGGCCCGGCCCGGGCGCAGGGCGGAGCTGCTTTAAATTGCGGCGCCCAGCAGGTTGGCGTCTCAGTCCCAGAGCTTGAGCTCAGCGGCAGCTTGTTGCACCCGGACTCCAGCGTCAGCCCGAACCCGGACTCGGAAGCGGTATCGGACCTAGAGCCTCTCCAGTGACAGTGCAGGGAGCCCGGCTTCCTGTAATAACTTACTCCACGTGGCTCTGCTACTCCTGGGAGCCCCGAGTGAACCTCTGCAAACTCTGTCTGCTGCACCTGCCACTCCTGAGCCAGCTGGGTCGCCCGAGTGAACCATGGCCAACGCGGGATTGCAACTCCTGGGCTTCATCCTGGCCTTCCTGGGCTGGATCGGAGCCATTGCCAGCACAGCGATGCCCCAGTGGAAGACCCACTCCCATGCGGGCGACAACATCGTGACGGCCCAGTCCATCTACGAGGGGCTGTGGATGTCCTGCGTGTCACAGAGTACCGGGCAGATCCAGTGCAAAGTCTTCGACTCCTTGCTGAATCTGCACAGTGAGTGCATTCCCCTCCCCCACAGCTGCGACCCAAGTCTCCAACCCCTGCCACCCCAGTGGCTCCGTTTAGGGGCAGTGGCTACGAGCGGCTTCTGTTATGTGATTACATGGTTATCAGTCCTCAGTTGAACGAGTCTTCCTTCTGATTCTGTGCGCTGTCGAGAAGTGGAGAGAACTGTGGTTTGGGAAAAGGGGAGTCTAGGACCAGCTCTAGTTTTGCCTCTAGTTCCCTGGGTAACACTTTCTCTGCTCCTGTAGGTGCGTTTGCATCTGAAACTCAAGTAAGAGCCGTGTGGAGATTGAGGGTGAAGGCCAAAGCCGAACTTGAGTTGTTAGGCCTCTCCTGCGTGTTCTAAGATGCTGTGTATATTGAAGAATGGTAGGGTTTGGACAAGAAAATGGTGTACCTTGGAAGGTTTGTTACCTGGTAGCTTCTCAAGTTCATAAAATTAAGTAGATAATCTCAAAATCTTTGATAATTGTTCATTCCAATCTATCTTTACTATGACCTTTCATAGAAAAAGTCCTATGCTTACATGGAATGCCCCAGCTTAATGCTTCTGCTCACATTGGAGTTTGAATCTTTTGTTATTTAAGATTCAGCAAGTGCGAAGGAGCCCCTTTGCACCCCTTTTCATAACTTTCTCAAGAAACCTCTGGGGATTCCTCTGAAAGTTTTCAAGTCAGGAAATTTCAGAGGAGTCAGATTTTGTCATGTTATTTTGGAAAGTGAAGGATGGTGGCTGGTGGGAAAACAACAATTAAGAAAGAAAAGTTTTTAGTAACCTCCAATCATAATATGAAGGGAAGAGTGAACATACTGAAGCAAAATGCCAGGAAGCAGACAGAGCTGATGACAGCAGAGGTCAGTTCCAGGAGGAAGCCAGGGAGAGGGGTGCATCTTCTCTCCACATTTCCATCTTGATTTTCTGCATAATGGATGTTTGCTTCTTATTTCTGGCAAGTTGGAAAGGATTATGTAGAGAGAAATATTTCTAAGGATGGGGGGGAGGGAATGACAGGATGGCTTTTTCCCCTTTCTTATTTTTTTTTAAATAAAAGCTTTTTAGTGGCTTGTCTGAAACTCATTTAATTCCCACTTACCTAGGCAATAACAATTTATGGCCGGAGTATCTTCTTTGACATATTACATTCGTTGTCATGTAACATGTGTCTGTTATTTCTTTGAACAAACCTGAAGAAGAGCTCCCTTAGTCTTTGGCTGGATAAACAAGCCTGCCCACCAGCCCCTTTATGGGCTGAGGGTGAGCAGTGTTGTTCTCTGTATTAGGTGTGCTGTTTTATATAACCATTGAATCTCCCCACGGAAAGATAAATACATGCAAGGAAATGGTGTCAGAAAATCGGGGTGTCATGTTGAGATATTGGTAGATGGAGAAGGTTCTAAAGACAATTCTAGAAAGGTGTCTTCTGGTCAAAATAGTTTATTTTCAACAGGTTTCAATAGATGTTCCTTTAACTTCCTTAAATAACCAATGGATTCAGATTGATTCATGTTATAAATACTCAAACAGGCCATTCCTACCTATGATAAGGTTAGATTGTTTTATTTCATGTACTCTTAGTTACCATAGCTATTACAATTTTTGAAGTTGTGGTAGAAGACTTGAACAATGTCTTCCTCCTCTCCCCAGTACCCATTTTGGAGATTTCTACCTGATGAAATCCCCAAAACCTTCCAGTCGGATTTTTCTTTTCATTCTGGTTAAAGCCAGAGATTATCCAAGGTGGGGCTGAGGCCATTCTCTCAAATCCAGTTCCCAGAAGAGGGAGTTCTGACTCACGGGTTTTCTCTCCAACCTGCCAGTGACTCATAGGATGCCTTTGGATGGAGCCCAGGGAACCGTCCGTGTCCATTTCTCTACCTCAGCAGTGGCGCTCACACCCACCTGATGCAGAGACCCAGGGTGGTGATTCATTGGCTGGTTTTGGTATAGTTCTCTCATCTCTAAATTTTAACAGGATTATCTGTACATATAAGTAATTTTCCTTGAAAAAGGTTGCATTACTTGTAGTGCTCTTACTTGAAAAGCTTGCCTAGAAGTCTGCTAAAATTGAACCTTGTTCTCTTTGCCAGTAGAGCCCACTTGGCATCTTAGGGTTGAGATACAAGGATTCATCAAGGTTGTAGTGGTAGATGTGTTAGGGGCCCTTGTCCCCCTCCTCTAAATAGTGTCAGCTATAACTAGAATGATTCCGTAAGTGTCAAAAGTGGTACAGTATGTTTAAACCAATATAGGAGATATAGAACATGAGACACAGCAGGGTTTGGGTTTGTTTTTGTTTTGTTTTTTTCGGTAGTTCTTGCAAAGAAATTTATAAAAATGTAGCTGAGACACTTACTTCCCGGGGCAGCAAGTGTGGCACTTGCTCTGGGGTTTCACTGGCTGAGACCATTTCAGGTGCATCCCGAGTGTGTGATGTTTGTTCACACTGATGACTCCTGCAGCTGAAAGTTGGAATGTACCGAGGAGAGTGGCAGATACAGTTACGATAGACTTTTCTGGACTGAGCTTTGTACATCTTGCCTGGCTGTGATCCCATTTTCAAACTGTCGGCAAGCTGGTGTCTATTTTATGTGCTTAGTTAATTGCTTCTTCTTGCTTGACTTGAATAGCTAGGGCTGTCCAAAGACTGGACTTCCCCAGGAGGCCGCACGGTAGGAGGTGTATACGCAGAGAAATAAGTAAGCATTTCGTAGGAATGTTCGAGAGAAAATCCAAGCACCAGACAAATGGGAGGTTAGACTAGACTCTCTAAGTCACATCCGACCTTGGGATTCTGTAATTTGTTTATAAGCTCCTCCAGCCTGTTCAACCTGCTTTGCATGAATCCACATGTGTGTAGGAGTGCTTAATGAGTATTGGTTCTCAGTGAGGTTTCCCAGCACTCTCACCATGATGTCAGGCTCAATCAAAGAGCAAGATCACTAACTCGGACAGACTTTTGGAGCACAGGCAGCGAGGACCACTCACACTTCCCCAGTCTGCGTTATGCCTGCTGAACCAAGGGTATTTATTCACAGAGCCACTGGCATTCAGATCTGTTTCAGGAATTACTTCTGACCCCTGGAATGATGGATGTCAAAACAAAAATCCAGGCTTGAGATCAGAAGCTCTTAATCCTGACCCTGGTGTTACACTAACGAGTCATGTGTGCAATGGTGAGCCACTTGGTCTCTCTGAGCTACAGTCTCCCCACTTATACAATAGGTCAGGGTTGGGGTGGGGGGAATGGGGAGGAGAATCCATGATTCATTCATCCCTTCCATAAATGTGAGCTGCCTTTCTCCTAGGGATGCAGCCGACATGATATATAAGCTGCTAAAGTTGATTTCTTCCAATACCAACATTCTTTGTCACTGACTACAGTGATTGAAGGGAAAAAGTTAAGTATGTGAGTATGTGGCATAGAGGAAATATAGAAAGATAAATTTAATTGTGAGGCAATGGGAAGGAGGGAAGGAAGGAAGGAAGAAAGGAAGGAAAAAACTGACTGCTAAGGACATTCCCAAAAGTGCTAAGTCCTGCCTCATCTCGGATCACTTCAGTTTCTGACTGTGCTAGAGTCCTGAGGTCACACCCAGTGGCCACCAGCTCAGGCACCAATAAAATAGAAATGCTAACAATGAGGACTCTTGAGAAACTTTGAACTTGAATAAAAGCAAGATTTAACCAGTGAAAAGGCCACGGGAGTATAGTTCTGTGATGAGCTCATTTAATTGCAGAGAAGAGAGAGCACTTTTGTTCTAGCGCCCTAATGTTCAGTTCATTGATCTGTCTATTACTTATTAAGTAACTTCTGATGCTAAGAGGGGCAATGTGAGGATGCAGATGCATTTCATTTTTTGTTGATGATATGTAGTACACAGGGTAATAATATAATAATATAGCCAGTAAAGGGCATGAAAATGTCAGGTATTTGAAAAAATTTTTGCTACTTATATAGTTAAGACTTTAGCAAAGCTTTAGAAAAAAATCCCACTTACTTGTCTGTGCTTGTCTCCCTATGCTTATGTTGATTAACCTAACTGTAGTAGATCAGTAACTTCTAACTCATTTCTTGTCTTGCAAGGAGAGATCTTTGTAAGTATTTTTTTCAAATTATACTTTCAGATTGCAAGTAGTAAGAACTTCTTAGGGAGCCTTTAATCTCAAGATGATCAGTCTGGCCAAGTATAATTAAAAGACTGCCTTCTCCACGTATTGCTGAATAATGATGAGAAACAATAGTGTAGCTTCGCGAATGTTTACTAACCATTTTCTCTGCAGACTACTTTAGTCAGTGATAACAGTATTAAATAGGTATCTGTGAATTTAAAGAGCTAGGAAAGAAACATAATTGCTTTGAGATTTGATTTAATCAGACCAGCCCAGAGTTTATGGTCCAAGGCTCTACTGTACTTCTCTAGTCCAAAGTAATATTTTGTAGCTTTTAAACATTTTTCAACTTCTATGCCCTGCTGATCATCATTCCACTAGGGAAAAAAACTTTCTTGGAAGCTATTTAAATGTATAATTTAAAAATTTAGAAAAATTTAAAAGTAGGTCAGATTAAGCAAAAAGTATGAATTTTTTCCTCCCTAAGCCTAACCTGAACCCTAACCCTAGAATTACTAGCTTTTAAAGTTCTAAACTAAGTTTGTCCGTATGTAGTAAGATTTCAGTGTCCTCAGGCTGTCTAAGGAGGCCTTTCTCAGCATTTTTTCAAAGGTTAAGCTTAACACAAGATAATATTTTGAATTTGTAAGGGATAAAAATGTGTTCTAATTTAAATTTATCAAGCAAAGATTGTAGAACTTATGTAGCTTGTCAGGTACCACTTTTAATGCTTTGGATGAAAATATGAACAAATATCTTACCCAAGTCATCAAGGAGCTCACGATTATATAGTCTACATCTCTGACTTCACAGACTTGCGTAAACCTTAATTTGAAGGATTCATCCTATCCCAGCTTAAAACTGCGTGATTGAGATTCTATCTGCACATAAATCCCTCATAACGTCTAACACACCTGCTTACTTTGATTTTTAATCCATTGTTACTTATGGCCAGCTAGTGAGTTTTAAGCTGTTGTGATTCTCACTCAGCCTTTTTTCCTTTGTACATTTCCCCACATACATCACTATAGTGAAGAATTAATCCAAATGTCTCCAATGAGACAAAATGAGATGTTTCTGTTCAAGGCCCATCGAGTTTTGTAAAGTACAAAGAAATGTCCAAAGTCAACGGGTGCCAAAGATGTAAAAGAAAAAATACTGCTTTGCAAACCAAAACTATTACTTTATCAGATTTTTAAAAAAGGAAACATGATTTCTTTGCTTTATAAGGTTTATATGACTCCTAAGTACAGTTTTGTTTTAAATTTAAGCAAGACATTATTCCATAAAGAAATAAAACACACTAAACTCACAGAAACTGTGTAGAAGAAGTAGAAGACTAAAACTGGTACGGCATGAATCAAATGTCTCTTCTTTGAGAATTTACAGGAGACAAAACTTAGCAATGAAAACTATGAATCTCAAATAATTCCAGGTGAGTGCAAAGGGAGCTTTGAAGTAGTTCACCCATGTGTGCTCCCTGCCCAGATGGTTTCATGCAAACCTGACTCACCAGACTGAACCCCAGCAGCCTCCTCATGAAGGACACCTTGTGACCAAGGTGCTCGGACCTGCTGGGCTGGTGGCCCGCTGTGTTCCATGCAGAGCACACCAGAATGATTATTATGGAAGTCGGGCTTGGTGTGAGGCCCTACAACTCCAGCAAAGTGGAAAACTTGGAGAGAGATCAGAGAAAGAAACAGGAGTGATGAATAAAGTCAGGGAATAAGTATTTATGAGAGCACAGAGTGGACGTGGCCAAGAGATGCAGGAGGCTGTGCGTATTTCTAGCATAGGAAGAATGTTGGCCGGTTGTGCTCTCTATAATGAGGATAAAAATCCCATCACCTTCTCTTTAACACCCTCCAGTGACATGATTACACAGCCAAAACTCCAAAACCTCTAGCTTGCAAAGTCCTGTCTGATTTATACCTTTTGTCCCCCTTGCTAAACCCACCTAATTTTACTTTTTACATCCTTTAGTGCCCCAGTTGAGTGACCAGCTGTCCTGGTTGGCTGGGGATTGAGGGTCTTCTCTGGATGCCCAACAGGTAGTTTTAAAACCAAGACAATCCTAGGCAAATGGACCGGAGGTCACCCTGTCCTCTGGGCACATGAATCATCTTCGTAACTTTGAGCATTTCCTCTTCCACTATTCCTTTGCTTGAAATGATTTCCTTCTGAGTGGAATTTGAAATCTGTGCTGTGGATGGAACTTAGTTATTTTATTGTCCTTCTCCTTCTTAGTAATGATTGTCTTTGCAAAAACTCTTGGTAAATCAGAAGGACACACCCTAACAGAAAGTTCTTGGTACTTTCCTCTTCATACCACACTGAAAGCACCTTCAGTTCCTGGTAAACCACAATGCAAGCACCTTCAGTTCCTGCATGGAACACATGTTTTGATTTAGCAGCCCTTACACCACACTGGAATGTTGAGATAAGTGTGTAGGTAGGTACTTATAAGGAGGCGGATATATGTGCAGAGGTGGGGAGTGTCTCTGGTTTGCTTTTTAATTCAGTCAAGTAAAAATGTATCTTGGCTTCCAAAATATCTCTCAAACACAGGGAAAAAAGGGAAAAGAAAGGAAAAGATAAAAAGGAAAGAAATATTGCTACTTTGCAGATAGAGGTTACTATGATCTTATCATACATTGGTTATGATGGGGATGGAAATATTAAAAAATTGAAATTTGACATTTTAGATATTTTCATGTTAATTAGGATTGGTAACTTAAGTTCTCAGTCCCTGAATATACCAAGATTGAATGTAGGTCTAAATTGGAGAGTGTGATATAAAATCTTTTTCATCATTTCACACTTTTGAAGAGCATCAAGAAGTCAGTCGTTCCAACTCGCTGGTTAGAGATACCATCACTCACACTTGACATAATAGAAACATGGTCCCAAAGAATAATAAGCAGCTTACTGAAGTTAGCATGTTTTGTTACAATGTAAATAGTATTTATATATGCAGAAATACTTGTCACATGTTAGCACCATCAATGAGATAATGATCTTTATGTGAGGGAGGATATAAGCCTAGAATTAATCATATTCAGCTCAGCGGCATAGTTTCAGCTCACCTGCTTTAAGTCTGCCCTTTTACGCCACAATGATGGCGTCATGTTTTTTTATAGTGCATTTTTTATTTGTATTTGTATTTCTGTTCTTTTTTCTTATTGTGCAAGTACAGTTGTCTCCATTTCCCCCACCACTCGCCCCCCTACCCCCATGTTCTCTGTCTTTAAGAAACATACTGGCATGACCCCGGGGACCTGGCCCTAGCTGTTGATTACATTATGCAACAACAATAACAGGGAATTAGAAAATTAGTGGGATCCTTAGAAATATTACATTGAATTTATTATCTGCTTTTTGACAACGTGGCAATTGAAATAATCTTAAAGTAAAACTGCTGAGATCTATGAATATCCACTCACACCCCCCATCCTCACTCCAGTCACTGGAGATACAAATGCTGGTTATTCCGCCATGAAAATCTATGAGAAACTCATTTCTTACCTTTCAGATTCACCTTTTTTCCCCCTAAAGCTTCATGACTGGGGTATAAAGCTGTTAACTGTTACCAAGATATATTGCAAACCACTTTAATTATAAATGGTTTAACATTAAGGATAATACATGTGATTGTATTTCATAATTAAAATACTCCATTAGTAAGGATTAAAGATGTATTAGGTCAGTTAAACCTATTCAAGCAGATCATTAATTTCTCTTTCCAGAGGAATTTGAATTTGACAAGAAATCTTAGGGCCAAAGGGCTTCTTATTTTTTACCCGGCCAGTTGTTTGTTGTTCTGGAGAAGAAACTGTGACAGTTACCTATGGAAGCATCACATGAACTAGGGTCCCTTGACTCCTAGTTTAATTTTCTTTTTTTCACACAACTTATAAATGTACTTGGTCTCCTACCACTCTTTTCTTCTTGGGCTAGATGAGATTATTCATACATATTCTAAAATATTTTCTGCCAGGCACTCTGCAAGCAACCCGTGCCCTGATGGTGATTGGCATCCTGCTGGGACTCATAGCCATCTTCGTGGCCACCGTCGGCATGAAGTGTATGAAGTGCCTGGAAGATGATGAGGTCCAGAAGATGCGGATGGCCGTCATCGGGGGTGTGATATTTCTTATTTCTGGTAAGAGAGGCCCTGGAGCCCCTTCTTTCTAAACTATCTCTGGTGTGGTATGAGATCTAGCTTTACATTTCCTTCAGTGATGTTGGACTTCTTGCACTTGAATTGATTTATTTCAGCCCCTTTAAAATCTGAAGACATGGAAACCTGAAGTCCAGCTTACTTCCATACTCTCAAAGGGGAACTACATGAAAATTTGAGATCTGCACTCACAGCGGACAGGTCTATTCTTTGAGGTTTCAGAGGCCAACTGGTTTATTAGTACCAGTTTTGCCAGGTGAAGAAAAATTTCTCCTATCTAGAAAACACTAAGGAACAATTCTAACTGCATAGAAAATTTCTGTGGCGTCCCCACAGATACTGTGTGGCAAAGAAGAAAACTAGTGACAGAGAATATAAAGAATGTGTGAGTCATACAGATGTGTGAGAGATGGATGGGAATAGGATTATTAGAGAAGAATGAGAACATGATTTCAGGTGGTCAGGTCTGATTCCCAAATAAACAGGATGTACCCAAGGATTAGTGAAGAGAAAGGCCAAAAGGAGTAGAGGAATGGCAGGAAATTAGGTTAAATAAATTAATACCAAAAACAATACAGAAAGGTCTTAAAAACCCCAATACGTATTTGTCGTCTTATTGAAGTGTTGATTGGCGAATTAGATATGTGTGTGACCTTTGAGAAAATGAGAGCCAGAGAAAGATATGGAAGCTCCATTTCACTGGTATAATGATGCTTGTTTTAAATGGGATTGCATGTACGTGTATCAAATAATATTTTAAATATATAGGCTATTTTTAAAATAATACATTATATATATATAGTAGTTCATTGTGTTTGAAAGTGACACCAGTGATATATTCTACCACTGAGAGAAACTAGAATTAGACTTTCTTATTTTCTCTTTGACAAAACACATGGCAGGAGCGTTTGCCTCAGCATATGTGGATTTAACCAATAATGAATAACACCTGTGGCTTTGCTAAAGTTTTAGTTAAAGTCATCAGTCTTTCAGTTTATCCAAATGAGTTGCTGCTCCCACCCCTCCCCCCACAAAAAACGCAGATGGCGCTTTAGTCCCAAAATTCATCAAAGGCCATAAGGAGATTTATTGCATTGCACACTTCTTTTGCTCACCTTTTTGTAACTCCTCTAAGTGACTCCAGCACTCCCAGTTCAGTTTAAAGGGTTTCTTAGGGAGTGAAGGTTGAAAGTTCTAGAGCATTCCCATGGTGCACCTGAGCACTACTTTTTTCTGACAAGTATTAGAAGCAGTTAGCTTCTAGTTAGCTTCTAACCCTTTTTTGAGGGAAAGGAGGTTGGAACAGTGAAAGATTTGATCTGTCTATATTCCTGGTTTCTTAGAAATACTATAAAAAGAAGTTAATACCTTTGGATTAAAAAAAGAACATATTTTATACTTCTGTAAAATGATGGCATGAGTCATTTTGACTAAGTCATTTCTTTGGTATTACTAAAATATGAAATGCATGGAAAATTGAGAATATGCTGCATAAGTATATCTGATGTGGCACCTCAGCAAATCACAAGGCAATGCTTGGCAGGTCTGGCCAGGGGAGCAGTAGGAGCTGGGGTGGTCTGGACCATTCGTTCTGAGACAGGTCCTGGTCTTCCCTGCTATCTTGTTGCTTACTTTCCTTTTGATCCTACAGAAATGTGAATTTTAAGCTTTGGTCAGGAAGAGTGTAGAAGGACTTTTTGTCTTCCCTTTTTCAAAGAACTCATCTGTAGTAATAAGGAAATCAGGCTCACCAAAACTAGTTTAGTACACTAATGTATAATAATATCTTTGATGATCTTAAATGACACAAATCTGCATTGCTTCCAAAAAAGCATTATTTGTGCCGGTGACCTTGAACTATAAATGAGTAAGATGACACAGTATAAACTATGCCTAACTCTGACCTAATATTTTTGTGAGTCTTAACAGAACACTTGGAATAAATCATGACTAAACTTCTAATCTTCCTAAATTAAAATGCACTGAATTAAAACTGTCAGAACTATTGATGAGAGTTAATTCTTGTAAAATTCTTATAAATATAATGGACTGTATATTTATGCTCAGTGTTCCATAGTGATTAACAGTTTTTGTTTTGAATTTCTCTAGGTCTGGCTATTTTAGTTGCCACAGCATGGTATGGCCATAGAATTGTTCAAGAATTCTATGACCCTATGACCCCAGTCAATGCCAGGTAATGCTATTCATGTGTAAAATAGCTTGTTTTCTGAGAAAATACCCTTTTCATGTTCTCTGCAAAGGCTAGCTAGTGTCACAGCTTCCCAGAATTGCTTTCCAGAATTTTATGTCAAACTTACAAATAAATTGAATAGCCTGTGACTCATATTAAAATGAATTTGATACTTGTTTTAACAGCCTTTATTGATAACAGAATGTATTTAAAATAGAAAAGTTCCAAGCTTTATACTGTGCAACTGTGTGCTGAAAATGTTCTCTTTCAAAAATATTAATAAAGATGTTAATATATTTGAAATATACTTTTTGAAGTATATTCTGACATAACACTTAATTGTGATTATAATTAAAACATAGCTTATGATTAAAAATAATACTCTATGGCTTAATGAATAATACTTCATTCTCAGCAGTTTAACTTTATGAAAGTAAGTTTTGGTTATGAAAAAGTAAGTTGTGATACTATTTTGAAATTTTTTGTTCCATCACAGCTATAAAATTGACTTTCCAAAGGTCAACTTTCCTAATATTGCAAGTTATGGAAGTTCAAAGACTGACTCTTGTCTCTCAGGTCAACACTCTTTGATCAGGGACATGGTTCTTTGTCTCACTGTGTTCATTTCTTTAAAGCCTAATAACTACATTTAAAGTCAGGATGTTAAGATGTAATTATTGTTTGTTGAGTGCTAGGATGAATAGATGAGAAACCCCAGTGGTTAGAGAGATAAGGCATGATTCTTTTTATACAGTCACCCACATACAGAAGAACAGATACTGCAATGATTGTGTTGGAGCCCTTCCCATAAGATTTACTGTTTAGGGGCAGAAACTGCTGGAAGTGAATCAGCTAAAATTTTACCAGTTATAGATGTGAGAGTACTTTATAAATTTCTTGGCACCATACACATTATTTACATTGTCTAAGGTGATCCCAGAAATAGCCCAGTAAGGCAGATGGGATCATCCTGCTTTAAGGAGAAACTGAGGTGGAGAAGTGATGTTAGTAGCACACAACTGCAGCAGCTGAGAGCTTGCACCTGGACCTAAACCCAGGCCTTCCAACTCTAGGTCTAGTTGTCTCCATTCTTATTGTCCACAGTCACAGGTCCTCACCCTAAGAGTGTGGCTGATCCACTTAGATCAGCTTAATCTAGAATGCTCTATGGGCTGCTTAGAAGTCTTTTTTACAAAACCACCAATTTCACATTTCAGTGTATATAGATACCTGGAATCAACTACTAATGGTCTAGAAATCTAGCAGCTTCTTCATAGACTATGGCTGCTACTTGGTGATAGCATGACTTGTCAAGTTTGGCCTAGGAATAAGGGTTCAAACCTAACTTCTAAAGTACATAAACATGCTTTACAAGTCTCCTACACGGGGAAAAGTCTTGGGAAATATTTGCATAATTAAGCTGATGTTGCATGTTGTGTTGCCTGATCTATTATTGCAAATTGTCAACAACTGCAATGTAGATATTCTTGTGTATGTGATCACAAACTGAAAGTACTTCTCCCAGAGATCATGGGGGATTATTTTCAGGGAAAAGATATAATGAGATTTCTAATTATAGTAGAAAAGTCTCCAATGATTCACTGATTAAGTAAATGCATTTCCTTTTAGGTATGAATTTGGTCCCGCTCTCTTCACTGGCTGGGCTGCGGCTTGCTTCTGCCTTCTGGGAGGTGCCCTACTTTGTTGCTCCTGTCCCCGAAAAACAACCTCTTACCCAACACCACGGCCCTATCCAAAACCTGCACCTTCCAGTGGGAAAGATTATGTGTGACACAGAAGCAAAAGGAGACGACCTTGGAACAAACAAAAAATGGACACTGAAATACTATTATTGACTTTAAGACCTTTAAACTTGGACTATCATAATCTGAACTGTGGTATTATAAAAAACATATTTTTTAAATACCCATTGGTAAAAGTGACTTAGTCTTATTTTATCTCCTTTCCTTAATACAGGAGGGAAGACTTTTTCATTTGTATTACTGCTTCCCACTGAGTAATCATCTCAGATGTGGGAGGGCTGTTCCTTAATTATAGATATGTATATAGACATGTTTTTCTATAAAAAATTAAATAGTAAAATCTCTTATGTTGGTATCAACATACTTAACACACATCTAAAAATATGTATATTTAAGTTTCTCTTGATTAAGTAGTTTATTTGCTATATCTCTTCTTTCTAAGTATACACATATGTTATACATCAAATATTATTTACTTGCTTCATCAGCTTTTAGGTCTTTGACATGAGACCTAGCCTACTTAAAGCAAGTAGAAACTCTTTCAGTTCTTCATATGTGCTCTTTTATTTTACTTTTTTACTGTGATCTTATAACACTTGCTTTGTCATCAGTCATTCTTCATGTCTTTGTTTTTATTAGGTTGAGTCGAACTCAAATCTAACAACACATTTCCTAAGCATACTATTTAATTCCTAAAATCAAGGAGAATCTCTTATAACTCAGACCTTTGGAGGCAAATCTTTTAGCACGGCTAGATGATGTATTTCTGTTAACCTTCCCACCTCATCTCTGTACTCTGACCTATAATACTCTTGTTTACTTTCAAAATATTTGCCTTATTGAGCAGCTGTGTGCTGCTTTCCAAAGTGTTGTAACACAATTTTATTGATTGAATTTTTAAGCTACTTATTTACAGTTGTATCCCTCCAAACTACCTTTTTCTCTCCCTTCCCTCTTCAGTTATGTGGTTTCTCGTATGTAATTATCATATATTGGGTTGGCCAAAGAGTTCATTCAGTTTTTTCTATAAGTTGACTCTGGTAGCACTTGGTTGTCTAAGTTCATTTAAAATTATTTTATTAGACTGTATTATGACAGCTGTCATATCAGTGTGCATTTTTGAAAATTACCAAAATTGGTGACATTTTGTGTAGCCATTTTAATATTGAAAAGGAAAGAAATTTAATATTGAAGATGAATATTGAAGAAAATATACAACACTTCAACATATTATGCTTTATTATTTCAAGAAAGGTAAAAATGCAACTGAAACATAAAGAAATATTTATGCAGTGTATGAAAAAGGTGCTCAGACTTATAAAATGTGTCAAAAGTGGTTTGTAGAGTTTTGCACTAAAGATTTTCCACTGGACAATGCTCCATGGTCAAGTAGACCAGTTGAAGTTGATAAGGATCAAACTGAGACATTGAGAACAACCAATGCTCTACCACTTAGGAAAGAGCCGACATACTCAAAATATCCAAATCAATAAAGTTATTGGTGAAAATGGAAAATGTGTCTTTTATTTATGGAAAAGACTAAATAAACCTTTTTGGCCAACCCAATAGTTTACCTCTTCCCAGATAGGTGTGGTCTGTCTGCATCAAGTGCTAGATTCTCTGTAGTGATAATGTGGTGACAAATATTCTCTCTATAGCTGTAAGCCAGTCACCTATTCTGTCCTTTTCCCATATGTCAAATTGAGATAATGATACTTAACTAGCTGGTGGATGTGTTATATTAATTAGTTGGTATTATGCTCATTCTTTGAACATGAAATATGTCTAAGTGGTGTTTTTATTTGCTCAATTGGCTGTTAGAAGTCATTGAACCAAACCTATACACACACCTGCACAAGGTTCAGTACCTTCCTCTCCCCTCTAGTCCATTTCCTTTCTTTCAGCTGTGCCATCATGTTGTTGATGTTTTGTTCTATTTTCATAATCGCTCTTAGTTTTCCAGCCTGTGGAAAATGCTACTTTACTTGAGCAACATGAGGTAACGACAAGGGTGTTGCTGTTGGTGTCTGGAGACCTGACGAGTCCTGGTGCTACATCAATTACTGTCTGAGTTTGGGCAAGGCACCTGGCTGGCCTAGATTCATGGTTTCACCTGTCCAAAAGGGATTGTAATTCCTGACCTGCCTACCTCACAGGGTTTTTGTGGGGATAGATGTGAGATAGAATATGTGTAAATGTGGTTTGTAAGGTGAAAAGCACTGTAATAGGGCAAAGAACTAAGTAATTTAAGTGCATAGGTTTGAGATTACTTTTCAAATGACTGAAGAGAGAGAAACTTTAAGAAATAGGTTTCTTGCCTCAATCCATATCTCGAGTGATGACACACTACAGTGAAATTCAGCTTACTAAATGAAAAGGTTTCTAAAGAAGTCAGTTTCTTCAATTAAAATGGCTTGATGCTTTCTGTGGCTAAGCTTTTCCACTTTTAGGAATGCAGACTTGACCTAGGACAAGTCTGCAGATGTAATGGGTAAAACAGAAGTGTAAGTGTTGGCAAAGCCGAAGTATGGAAAATTGTTTGAATTATAATGACTTGCAAGGATATTCAAGGTGATGCCTTCAGAGCTGATGCTGTTAGCTAGCAGCTAGCACTGCTAGGGTACTTTGGGAATGGTAATTCATAGTGAAACCACACATGAAAGATATCCAAAAGATTGCATCATATGAGGATTTGAGCCTAGTAAGTTTTACTGTCTTCCAGACCTGAGTCTATGCTTCTGGAAGGTATAATTGAAAGAGCCTTTGCTACATATATAAATCCTAGCAATGTGCAAGTATAAATGCATGTGGTTTACTACTGGCTAAACTCTTCAAAGAAGTTTATAATCTAAAATGACCAACAGAATTGTTGCACCAGAATTTGGTCAATTTTGATAGTTTCGTATTCTGTTAATGTACCTGGAAACAAACCCAGTAGATGTTGTGGGACTTTGTAATAGGAATTTGTATAAAGCATTATTCTTTTTTCAATAAATTGTTGAATTTTTTAAATAAAAATATAGCTCCTTGGCTTGTTTTTCAAACTATTATTTCAAGATTCCTATGCTTAGAAGAGGTAATGACTTGGGACAGGACTCACTCTGTTCCTAAGAAATCTGACTCACCCTGATCCTAAGAAAGAGCTATGGTACCTCTGGGTTATCTATCAAATATTTGAGTGACTCCACCTACTAGGATGCCCTATTTCTCTCAAACGGAGCTCCTTCATCATCGAAGCTGGTGATAGAGAATACCAAGGGGAGTTATTTAATCTTGCTCATCCATGAAAAGGGGACAAACAGTAATGATGGGCTAAATGATAAAATAACCAACTGTGAAGCACTTTGAAAGTGTCAGGTGGCTGCGTTCCTCACATGGTGGAAGAGTGAGATTCAGGATTGTTTTTGTAATGATTACAGTCAAAACTACTTCTTAGGAAAGCAAGTGATGAAACATATTTGCTGGTTATCTAAAAATATCAATAATTGAAAGAGCCTTAATTATAGCCTCTCCCTGGGCAATTTTCATATTAAAGATACAGGTTTGTAAACAAAGAATTGTAGCTCTACATAGACTCCCAGGCATTAGCACCGTAGGCGAGGGGCTAAGATTATTGTCAGATTGATTTGAACTTTCCATAAATTAAGCAAATGCACCAGAATTCTCACTCTGCAGATTGAAATCTCTGGGTGGGGTGGGGCCTGGGCCACGGAGGCCAATGCAGATGGAATGGACCAAGCTAGAAAGAGAGTGATAGGAGATGAAAACATGAAGGAAAGAGGAATCTGAACTGCATGGGGCCTGGTGAACTATTGTAAAGACTTCATTTTTCCCTTCAGTAAAAGGCAAAGATATTGTTAGGTTTTGAGCAGAGGAAACATGAGATCTAAATTATGATGTAATAAGATCATTTTTATCTGTTGTGTTGAGAACAGATTTATAAGAGGGCAAGAGGAGAAGCAGAAAGTTCAGTAGAAGTTATTACAACAATCCTGACAGAAGATGGCTTGGTGATAGCAATGAGTAGTAAGAAGTTGTTAAATCTGGATATCCCTTTAAATTAGAGCAAATAGGCTTTGCTATTTAATTGTATATGAAGTGTGAAATTTGAAAAAAGAGTCAAAAATGACTGTAAGATTTTTGGCATGAACAACTGATAGGAGAGAGTTACCAAAAACCAAGAAAGAGAAGACTGTAGGGGAGCAAGTTTCACTTTGGCCATGTTTAAGTTTAAGATGTCAATTGCATATCCAAGTAGAGATGTTTGATAGGCAGCAGGAAATTTTTTAAAAAGGAATTGTAGATGAAGAAGGAATTTTCAAGAAGAGAGAGTAATCAAACATCAATTTCATATGGTTTATCAAGTTGAAAAATATACTCCAGTCTTTGAACATTTAAATTGATGGCTATAATCGCTAGAGTAAAAGGTCAATAAGAGCCAGGAAACAAACCTACTTACCTATTATTGAATCTTTTTATCATCTTACAAATTATTTATTGTATTATTCTCTCTAAGAGTATTCTCAAAGAAATATGGTGTATTAGTCATAGACCTGCCCTGGATTTAGTTTTAATTTGGCCCTTTATCAGCTCTACCTTTTAATTATTACATTTTAATGATTTAATGTGGCCAAAACCAAACCTGTCAGTTTAGGTGTTCTGGGAAGCAGGGCTCCAGAACAGAGACTCCCAAGAGATAGAATACTAATGTCTGTGGCAGAGAAAAGAAATATGTTATGAAACAAATCCTCAGCCAACTTCCATGTTCATGTCTCATTGGATAGAACAGTTTCCTATGGTTGCATTCAGCAGCAAATAAAATGCAGATATTTAGTTGTATAAATGGTCACATTACTGCCCATTAAAATCAGATTTTGCCTGCCTTGTTGGCTGTGGCCTTGACCAACTTACTAATATCTCTCAGGCTTAGTAATAATATGTGTTCAACTTAACTCATAGAGTTTTGGTGGAAGCCAAATGTCATGATATGTGTGGATATCCTTTGCAAACCAAAAATACTGCACAAATATAAGAAATTAGGGTTCACAAGAATAATTTGTTTTGTTCAATGAAAGCCTTTGATAACTTGAAGTACACAAGATACTTTCCCTGATTTCAAATATTAACCTACCTCAATGTATGTTTCCCACTATAATATACAAGGTCTGTCCAGAAGGTATCCATCCATGTAATATGAAAAATCAAGACATTTATTGAAGAAGATATAAGATGCAAGAAACACTGTAAATAGGACAATGATACCTCAGTCCCTTTCAAATCAGACACCTTGGGACCTCACACAATTCTCCCAATCGCCATATGCTGCTCCTTTGTATTTTTCTGAATCTTATCAATGGTCTAAAATCTGTTCCCTTTCAAAGGTAATTTTAGTTTTGGGAAAAGCCGGAAGTCAAAGGGCACCAAATCTGGGCTCTTGGCAGAGCTGAGTCACCTGGGTGATTTGATGTTTCGCTAAAAGACTGCACAAGACGTGATGCATGAGAGGGTGCATTATGGTGATGAAGCTGCCAATCACCAGTTTCCCATAGCTGCAACCTTCTGAATCATCTGAATAATTTTGCAGAGGAATGCTTAAACCTAATGCAAAACTTGAGGCAGATTCGTTGCTTTCCTCACTCAGTCATTTTGAATGTGATGGCCACACAGTCCACATGCTCACTCAACAGCGTCTACCTCCCCCACTGACTAGTACAGTGAAGTTGTCATTGTTCACAAATGCACAGACCAGTCCACTCTCCTTGGCTGCCAGGTTATATCGATGTCACCCAACTATTCTCATTATGTTGGACTGGACTATTTCCGGACAGACCTCATATGGACTCAGCATGGAGAGCCCCATGTTACAGAATTAAGAAGCCAGAGGTCATAATACATCATCTAGAAAAGCACATTTTCTGACTTTCAAAACACAATAAAACCAAAAAAGTAGATATAATAAAAACAATGTCTAGTAAAACCATTTTGTATTTTAGTTTTTGATGAGATGCTGGAAGCAAAGCAATGCTACTGAAATATCAATAGAGCTACCACCTCTTCATTTCAACATTTATTTAGGTCTTACTATATGCCAAATCCTGATCGAAACACAACTTTGTGTGGAGAGGTGGGTAAGACAGTTGCTGCCTCAGAGCCACCTTTTTGCAGCACCCGAGTAGCACCATTCTCATCATGACCTATGTGAACAAGGGCCCCAGAGACTTCACACAGCCCAGAGGTCTACACACAGGGGCCTCCAAAACAATTCTGAGAAAAATATGTATGGGCATCAAATAGGAAACAAATAAGGTTTGTGGGAAGAACCTTGAATGACTGCTAATAATCAATGAGAAACAATTCATTTTATATTCTTCGGGTTGGTAAAAATCTTAAGATCTAAAAATACCAAGGACTGGCTAAGATGTGAAGAAATGGGTTCTCTTCCTTATTTATAAGCCTAAATTGGTAAACTGCTACAGAGCCAATTTCAAAACACCTGGTAACATTTATTCTTTCAGTGTGACCCAGTAATGCTAACTTGATATATATAACCTTGAAAAACTAATTTCAGTGCTTGTTGTGATGGTGCTATATTTATAATAATAAAGAAAGTATTGGCATTAAGTGCTATGGGGAGCCCAGGCACAGAGAGCAGATAACAGCCTCCGGGATTCTGAGAAATCTAGTAGAAAGGGAATCCTTAAGGGATGATCGAGAACCTACCATCTGGCCATTTCACTCCTCCAGCTACTACAATCCAAACCCCAATCATCTAGTATTTAGACCAGTGAAATGATTTCCCAATAGATCTCCTGCTTCCAGTCTTGTGTTCTGCAACCTATTCTTCCAATAGGAACAGCAGTGATCCTTTGAAGACAATTCTCCTGTCTCTCAACTGTCCTAAATCTTCCTCCAACTAGTTTAAAATAAAAATGACACTAGCTACCTTCCCACCTTCATGCCTTACCAGTGTCCTCTTAAATCATTCTGTCCAATGACTCTGGTCTCCTTGCTTTTCCTGTGATTGCCACGAGCTTCTTGAATTCATTGTTTTTCTCCTGGTACCACTCTTGCCCCAGAAAAATCCCAAATATCTATCAAAAGATACTTGTCTGATCATCTTATATAGAATAGGAACTTTATCACCCTTTATGCCCTTCTCCTGCAATATTTTTACTATTTCTTATAACATGACGAGTGGAAAAAGAAAATATCTTTATCCATGTGTTACTGTGTTGTTGGATTGTCCCACTGAGTAAATGCCCTCTGAAGGCTGGGGATTTATTTATTTATATATATTCTCTATGTCAGTTTATCACTCTATCACAGATGCCTAAATCAGTACCTATTCCATAATCAAGCTTAGATGATAATTAGTAAATAAGTTAATAAAGTTATAAATAGTGACTAATTTAATGAAGAGTACATGGGCCAAGTATGACCAAAGAAACTCCATTCTTTTATTATAATAATTAAGAAAGAAAATTCTCTCTAAAAGTTGCTAAATAAAAGGGTAAAATCTGGAGTAAAAAATAATAGTAATAATAATAAAGCCAAGTCTATAAGAAAGCAGAGCTGTGGGATGAGGAGCAAGAGAGCCTTCTAACATAATTTAAGCCCCGAGGTCCACGTTAGAGCTAATTGGGACTGTGGACTTTTCAGTTAGGTGTACCGACACATTTCTTGCCTTTAAAATTCACTTTAACTTAAATTTCTGAGTACTAACTAGTATAATTACCAATTTCCTCCTACAGAAGTCGGTAAACCAAGATCTGAAAAAAAGGAAGAATTTTGATCAAACTCTTGATCAAAATTAATGATGGAGCTAAGGTTTAAGTTTGGATCTTTAAGTCCAAATCCTGGTCCTCCCCAGCCCTCTCCATGGCTTAGCTGGCTGCACACGTAGATTCAAACCCTCCCATGAACTCAGGTTGTTGTACATTTACAAAATACCTCGGTATTAGGGCCAGGAATCCTAGGAAACTAAGTAGGTTGAGATGAAGTCCCTTGTGTTATTTAATCT